AAAACCCCCTAAACCCCCTCAACCCTATACCCCAGCAGTTTAGACTATAACCCCTATAATCCCCCATATAATCCCAGTTTCCATTTCATTTTCCATTTTCTTTTCCATTTGATTCTCCATTACAGTAGTTTCCATTTTCTTTTCCATTATCCCCAATATAACCCCAATATAATATAGTAGTTTCCATTTTCTTTTCCATTATCCCAATATAGTTCCATTATAGTAAACCCTAAATCCCTAAGCCCCAAATTAGTAGTTTCCATTTTATTTTCCATTATCCCATTATAACCCAATATAATCCCAATATACCCTATTCAACAAAGGCGTCATCCTTTTTGGGCCGGCCTCGAAAGGTCCCCGTCGAAAGACCGTAGTTGACACCGATAACCACCTGAAGCAGGCACAGGGCTTGCCGGGCGGCAAGGAAAACAAACAACCCACTTCGCTGTTGAAAATTCATTGGTCCTCCCTAGCAAGAATTTTCCCTTCACTGTTGAATTCCCGCTGGAGTCAAACCGCGAGTAATCAATAGCCTCCGACCACTATTCACACAACATTCAGGCAGTCAGAAGCCACTTACCCTGATGCGCCCTTCACTCTACTATCGCATCCCCAGACAAGCAGGAATACCCTAAGCTGTACAAAGTGCAAGGAAGTTGTGTTGATGTTGATGCACGCCTGCGGCAACTCTGGATCCCGGCCCGGGTCCACAATCCTTCGGCTTGAGGACTAGTGTGAATCAGTGTTTCGGGGCTTTGGCGCGGGACTCTCAAAAAATCAGTTGCGACAACTGTTGAGCATATAAGCATACATGTATCACGTTGAAGATGCTTTCAAATGGATACGAATAGAAAAGGGTGCCGAGACTCACTCACTTCACTTGCCTGGAAAGTAGTCAGTGCATTCGAAAGACAACAATTGCTAACACCAATACTCCAAAGTAAGCAACCTTTTCATTCCTGGATCTACGGCAATGGCTAGCAGCGTGGCACCGGTGACGGTACCATATAGACATATAAGGATCACCGTAATTTGGTTCTGCAAGCCGCGCCAAATAAGTTCTCTTTAAGCCCAGATCATTGGAACTGTACCGCCAACCCCTGTTTAGCAGTCTCCACCCCTTGTTTTCTGCAGGCATCACCCGGTAAACTGTCACTAACCTACTGACAACACAGCCAGTAAGTGAAGGAACCATACGGAGAATAATGCATGGAAGCGAGCGTGCACAGCGCCTTTTTTACGCCAGGAGAAAAACAAGCGCCTGCCTGTGTCCACGTATTCTACGTGGCTGCTACTGGTATAAGTGAGCGTCAAGATCGCAATGCCCATCAGTACACTAGTAACCCTTGAGCAGTCTTTGGATCCCAGCTACCCACTACATCCGACGCTCAAAAGTATATGCCATGGCCGTGAGTGCCTTCAAAAACCCGCCGCGGCTGGCTGAGCTCAGAACTTCACAAGAGCCTTCCACTCCTGCGATTTGGGCTTCGGGGGGGATATAGTTTGGGGGTCCTATGACTAGACTGCATCAGGCTATGCTCTGGCCTTCTTATGTAGATGATGCACGTATACGGAACCGAGCGAATTAACAGTCTTGCGACAAAAAGTTGTTGAACATTTCCTCCTGCGGATGGGCTTCAAGCTTGGAGAAGACTATGTTCATCATTGTAGGGTCATTTTGAACTACTGCTACATCTTAAATGAAATGGTGTTGTTGGCTAATGGTGAGCTCATTGCTATAAACCTCATCACTGCGAAATCCAATCAGCCAAAACAAAAAACAAAGCAGCGCCAGCCTCTGGCTAGGCCTACTACTACTGAGTACCGTTGGAGCTTCAGCTGATGGACCTGGATGCCCTTGGTTAGAAGCTCGGACCCACATCTCTGCACGGGACGGGAGCCGGGCTTTCTTAATATGAAGTGGAGATTAAACATTAATCCACTTTCTATACTACTTGAGATTACCTCTACTCTGTCACAGCCATGCTAAACCCTGCCAAACTTCCTAAGCCCCAAAACCAAGCAGACGCACAAAGCCTCGTAGCTGCCCCTAAACCCTAAGCCCATATCCCTTGATGTTTCCCGCCAATGGTGCCCCTCGCTGCTTGATGGGCCAAGATGCAATTACGTAAAATTCCTCTATGGGTGGTACCGCCCGACCTCTATACATGCATTCGGCTTGCGGGAGCCCTGTGACGGCACGATGCAGGGGAAATTCAATGACCTTTGGGCTTAGGGTTTGGAATGGTTTGCGGTTTTAGTGTGTTTTTGGGTTCTGGATTGAGACATCTTAGGGGCTTTGGCATCCTTCCACTTATTTAAACCCTGGAAGACCCGAACTTGACACCTTCATGGGGTCTAAGGATGCCATACCCCTAAGATCCCTAAACCCAAAGTCCGACAACACCTTAAAGCCGCAAACCATTTTACACCCTAAGCCCGAAGATCACTGAAATTCCCCTGGCTTCTCGCCGTGCCGATATACGTTTTTTCATCTTACTCTATCCGTAGTCTCTACATTTGCATACATTTCCGTAATCCGGGAGGGGTGCAGTCTCTATTCGCTGTATGGAAATTCTCTAGGAAGCGGGGGGTGCACCTTCGCTTTGTAATATGAATTTTGCTGATTGTTGGGGGGTACCCCCCAACTTCATAGAGCCTAAAGGCTCCACGTATCTCCTCGCTTTGCTGCAATCGCATTGTAGTATAAGGCGTACCTACCGAGGCAATGAGTTGCTAGCCTGGTAGTTTCCCTAAACTGGGGGACCCCAATTCATAATCCTTATTGTAGGAACCCCCAAAAAGGTACCCCTAATTTTAGGAAACCTCCCATCTAAACACCAAGTCACCTTCAGCACGTTCGCTGCAACCTCGTAGTCCTGGTTGGCACGGCCCCACTCCTCAGGCCACTTTCAAGTTGGCGCAGTGATCCACTTCTGGCACCTACTACCAAGCATGCATTCCCAAAAACATATCCACCGTTCACCTGTATCTTGTGAAATGGAGTGGAACTTGTTAGATGCGGGAGGAACCCCAAAACCATCGGATACTTGCCATCAGAACGAGAAATCTTGAGGCACATTGACCCTCCTGAGCCATTGTACACTGATTGCGCCTCCAGAACAACAAACTCAAAAGACTTTAACAACCCTGGGCAAGGATCTATAAACTCACCCAATAGTATTAGTAGTGTAGGGTGCGGCGCGATCATGGGGCTGTACTCTCTAAATCCCCTTATAGTCCCGCTTAAGTAGATAGAATATGGCTTTGGGTATATTAGAATAAGATCTCCATATACCCCACATTCTATCTATTTAAGAGGGACTATAGATCCTCCCAGCGGTCTGGGTACCTTCAAATCTGCTCAAATATTTCATTGCCAAACCCTTTCGCCTGCCCTAACACTACCTCGCGTGGGCTAGAAACTATTTTATAGACACCCTCACGAAGGGGAGCCCTCACTGTTAGAAACCCTCAAGGCTTAATGTCCCTTTATACCCATATATACACCCTAGAGCCCCTTCTTTAAAGGGACCGATATTTGCAGGTCGCATAGAGCCGAGAAACCTTGTTGCGGCCGTCAACGCCAACGGTGGAAACCTGGAAATTATTCTCTTTGGGCACTCTCCTGCCGTGAATCTATAGTCCCCCTTAAGTAGATAGAATATGGCTTTGGGTGTTATAATACCCCATATTCTATCTACTTAAGGAGCACTGAAGTACTATGAGTGTTGTTGATAATGTCGCCCCTACCCTTAGTTTTACTGTTTTTCGTAGGGAAAAGGGTCAACTCGGCATGATGAATGTTACAAGTACCTGAACCCCAAAAGTAAGTAAAATAACAGCCCAAAATACAAAAATATGGCCCAATAGCCCTTATTCTACATACTTTTGGGGTTCAGGTAGCGTTCTATCATGGAAGGAGTTTCTTGGGTCAGCCATCCCGCCCGCCTTCTGGGAGAAGGTCTTGGCCTTGTTCCAGGCCTCAGAACCCTCGGGCTCAGAGAAGTAGAGCATGTCCTTTTGGGAGTGTGGGTTTAGGATGTGTGGTATCGGATCTAGGTTTTGGGGTTAAAGATTTAGGGGGCCGGTCTCTCAGTCTGGAATGGGAAAATGTAGAAATGAAACAATTATCTAGCGGATCTGTTTGTTCCTTTGTTGCATAATTTCTGGCTGATAGGCTAGGCCCTCGGCTAAGCCCTAGGCAGGCCTAGGGCGAGGCCCTTTACCCAGCCGAGCCGCCCACCCACAAAATGTAAGGCGCCCTGCACCGTAAATCCTAGACCCAAAACATTGGAGCACCTTCCCCCTGGGTCCTGCTTCAGGCCTGCAGCCTCCTGGAGGTTGGAGGTCAGCTGCTGGGACTGCTTGGTCTTGATGTAGAACTCAGCGTTTCAAGGCGCGTTAGGACGAATTTGGGATGTGGGCCGCGTGGGATCTATCCAGGGCTCAGATGCCAAATCCAGCGCATTTAGCTTCATGCAAGGGCATGTCGGGTTTGAGCAGCTTCGGATTTCAGGGTGGCTTTACGGCTGAGCGGGAGGGAAACAAAAAGTGCGTGTCTGGGACAAAGACGCTCTGCACAACGTCCCTCTTCATGGAACCAAAGACAGGGAATATGCAAGGGAGTTCGTGTTATGCACGTAAGCTGTGATGCGTGTGATGCGTCTCACGGACTCTGTGCTCGCAAGGGATCTCATGAGTACGCAAGTCTACAGTCTAGAGGACTGTACGTTCTTGGCTGCACGGCCAATGATGAGATACATGCGTGTGGCTGGATTTCCGAGGAATCTGGGAGATGATGGGAGGAGGAGTGGTGGCTTCTCAAAATTACGGTGTCCTGTTTTGAGGGGGGAGTGTTACCATAATGAAGATCCCGCTATGTTGATGTGACACAGTGGCGAGACGTGCCGCGAGAAGGACCCAAGCGCTTCCAGGTGGCAGGGGTCTTCTCGAAGCGCTCGAAGGACGCCAGGAGGGCCTTCTTCCTGCGTGCCACCTGTGTAAAGGAGTGTAGCTTGTTAGCTTCAGCGCTCAAGTAGGAGGTGAAGAGCAATGGGAATGCTCCATCAACTTAAACGCAGAATGGCTGCTCAAGATTCTGCGCAACCCGAACTACCTGATGTCCTTCAAGACCTGCACCCTTGCAACAGCAGCCACATCTCCCTCACCGATACTGCAAAACCCGGTGGCATGTCCATTTCTGCCCATTGATGTTGCAATATATAGGGTTATATTAGGGGTATATATTAGGGTTATATAGGGATAATGAAACAGAAAATGGAAACTACTACAATGGGTTTGGATGTCTGCAGATTTTGGCTTATCATCTGGATGGCTTCGTACTTGAACTTCTTCTGGCTTTCGCGTAAGGGATCAGGTGGTCATGCTTGCACATACTGTCAGGACTCCTCAGCAAGCTATGACTATTTTTGTTATTATTACTAATAATACTACTGCTAATACTAATAATACTAATACTCATAGTACTAATACTAACACTAATAATACTAATGCTAATAGGCATACTACTTGTAATACTAATACTAAGCAGGAGCTCACCGCCTCCTGGTCGGTGCGGCCTTTGTAGACGTTGTCTGCGCCAACCTCGCCTGTAGAACCAAATCCGTGTTTCCGTGAATGAAGGAATTTGAGTACATAGTCCCCTTAAGTAGATACGGGTTATATAGGGATAATGGAAAAGCACATGGAAACTACTGTATTATAATGGGGTATATATTGGGGGTTACAATCCCCCTTTAGTAGATAGAATATGGGTTTGGGTATATTATTACTAAGATCCCCATATACCCCATATTCTATCTACTTGAGGGGGACTATAGCCCCTTGTTGAAATCCAGGTTCTAGGCCTTACTTTCCAGCGAGAGTTTAAGTTTTCGCAGCTTGGGTTTGGATCTGGATTTAAGGGCTGCGCAAGGCTGCAACTTTGATATCAAAACATCAAGCGTGTCATGCCATCAAGCTTATAGTAGCTTCCGTTTTCTTTTTCATTATCCCTACATAACCTATATATTATACCCCTATATAACCCCCACCCCCAAACCCGTGAAGGCCAAGCTTGTAACCACCCAAAACCATGCGGGATTCCCAAATCTTTTCATGCTTAGATTACACAATGTTGCCTTGACCTAGAGGGGGGAAGCCGTTTCCTGTTTCAATGATTCACTGTGCGAAATCATGACTTGCTCCATTCCTCCTTGAGGCTTATGACGCTTGCTCATGCCCATGCCTCTCTCAAGGTGAAAGAAGAAATACCCGCACATGCTAGTCGCTCTGCTCTGGCTGCTTGAGAAGCCTGTTGCTGGCTGAACCCGGAGCTCTACGCTGAGCCACAGGGGTATGTAGCCCATATAGGGATTTCCCAAATTAGGGGTACCTTTTTGGGGTCCCTATAATAAGGACTATAGTATATTGGGGTCTATGTTAGGGTCCCCTTATTTAGGGAAACTACCATATTGCACCAAGTGGCTGAACTGGGAGTAAGGGTTGACCGGGTTGTCGTTCTGGTTGTAGACATCCGAGACACCACCTGGGCCAACATCTTCCTGCATCCTTCTATTTTGCATGACCCTGGGGTTATACAGAGAACTATGCATAAAGGGTTGCAACAGCTGTGGACACGCATAGCCGACTAGCAAACTCCAGTGCCCTCAGCAAAAGTATCCCAATCCTGGAGACATAGTGCAGGGCTGGTCAGCCTTAAGCACGTCTTGGAGGACTTCCCTGGACCTACTGAGGTTTTCTAGGGGACCCTACGCGTGATGGACATGGGAACTTGAAACCTCGGCCTCGACCTGGTGTTGTAGAAGCTGCATTTTTAGCCCCTTATATACTATAGTAGTTTCCATTTTATTTTCCATTATCCCAATATTATACTGAAAGCGCTCAGAAGACAACAGCAAGTCGCTCCATTGTCCACAACAGCAGGAAAGCAGTGATCCTTTTAGCGACACTCGTAACCCACAAAGCATATGACACCCATGATGGAAGAAGGTCATGGCAAAGATACCTCCCAGGCCGAAGAAGGAGAGCTTGGGAACTTCGGCCTGCAAGGGGATGCATCTATGGGAGGTGCTCCTCATTGCTATGGGATATGGAAGTGTGTTCCCTAAGAATGTTGCGAACAAGCTTGCTGCTAGCATTGAGGCAAAAAATTGGAACGGGGTTGTGGGGCTGCAAGCTCAAAGTCGTCCTGGGGCACAGTCCATATCTTACCCTATAGGTTCAATCTACTAAAACAAACCCAGCCCAGTAGCCCCTGAAGGCCTCCCCAGCCTTCAATTCAGCCTAGATCTTAGCTTCTTGTGGAAAACTTGAATGTGGTAGTTTCCCTAAATAGGGGAACCCCAATATGGACCCCAAAAAACTATACTCCTTGTTCTTGGAACCCCCACAAAAGGTACCCCTAATTTTGGGAAACCCCCATGTCGCTCCGTGCCTGAAAAGCTGCCCTACTCGGCTAACCTTCTGCAAGTCGTTGTCGTAGACCCAAACCGACTATACGGCTCAAACCCAACACAACCAACAGAATCTCAAAGAAGTGCGGAGCCAAAAACCCAAGATCCAAATCGCCTGATGATTAGGCACTTTCCGAGAGATCCCAGCACCCTGAGGCGCAAAAGTCCTGAAGTCTCTCCCAAAGCGCCCTATTGGAAAACCCCGGGTGTAACACTGGGCGCCTGTGCAGGGCCGGGTGCCGCCACGCTGGCTGCAACCAAGGCAGCAGCCATCGTTGCGGCGGCCTCTTATCAGTGAGGGTGCCGTATAAGAGATTGAGGAACTCCTTCCCATCACCAGACATTCTTCAGAAAAAGCTGAGGTATTGGTAACAATCAGAATGGTATTGAAGCTGGCGCTGGCCTGCGCTACAGCTGCTACTACTACTGCTACTGCCACTGCTGCTTCTACAACAAGGTGCAGGATACAGTGAATCTGTAAAGCAATCACCCTCATAGATATGCAGGATATGCAAGGTTGGTCTCAAAAACAAAGAAACTTCGCCTCACCACGGAGCTTTGGCGTCACGAAGGCCTCCTCATTGTGGGAGAGCCTCAGGACATGATTGCCTTCTAGGGCTCGTGGTTTGACAATAATACGAAACACGAATATGAGGACAATGCTGACTTGAGGAGTACTGCTGTGAAACCACGTAAAGCTTTCCAGTTACGCATTTGTAAGATGATTTGCTTCAGATGTGACTCCTTGGCGTGCCCTCAGCAACCATTAAGCCCTGGGATTATAACGCAAACAGCTTAGTCACTTCAGAACCGCCATCGCGCCGACGAGGATCAGAGCCTGCACCAGGATGGCAGAGGCTGTGGGCGATTCTGCATACTTTAGAGGTTTAGAGTGGAGCAGCCCTAGGTTCATGCATCGAGGTTTAGACAGATCAACTGTAGGAAAAAGGCAAAAAATCTCCAGATTTCCTCAACCTTGCATCATCGGGTCTTTAATGCCCTGCGCTCATAAATGCCATGTGAGACTCCGTCAAAGCAGTGAACAGGGCTTGGAGGGCTACACGCACACCACGCCCGGACAAAAAGCAATACAATGCAGACCTAAAAGCTTGATGAGTAGGTTCTCCATTGACGTGAAGCCTTTAACCACTGAGGATCTGGAGGGAAAACTAATTGAAAAGGCATGGGCTGAATCCTTTGAATCGTAGATTCGCTACACCCACATGGCAGAGCCATGGGGCAGTCCGAATGCTTCCGGTTTCAGGGTAAAGCTTCATGACTGCCAACCGGTCCCTGCCGAGTCTCCCCAAAAAGGGAAAAACCTTGAAGGGGAAAGCGGCGATGGGAGCATGTGCTCCTTTCTCATCGGACTTCTCTTGCGGGCGCTTGCAATGCTTGCAATGCTTGCAGCTGAATCCCTAATGTTGACTGCTTCTGAGGCTGGACCATGGATTAGTAGGGGCAAACGGCTAAGGCTCGCGAGAGGACTCGTTATATCTGCTTATAGGCCAAGCTCTCCTGCACCGAATTGTCAGCATGGTACCCTTACTCACGAACTCTACTCCCATCCAATTCCCCTGGATTTGAGGTATCTGCGCTTGCATTGGGGGCACCTGATGAGCGGCTTGGTGGGGACCCCTCATGATGTTTACTCAGTACATCCTCGGCCTTGGACAGCAGGGAAGTACGAGCCATTGTTGCTCTCTGTTTCCAAGGAAGGGCGCGAGAGAAGGCAGGACAGCTTGGAGCCGCAAAAAACGCTGAGACAACGGCGATCTAGCGTCTTCTTCTTCTTTCCCATACTTGCTGCTGCGACTGGAAATATCACTGCGACCAGGAAGCAGGACTTCAGGGGTTGCTCTTTCTATCTTATAGGGCTGGCTGTGTTGGAGAAAGCTGGCGAGATGACAGTGGCCATTATATGCAAAGGAATGTTTAACACTACTGCTTGCCAGCACCAGCTTCTGCATCATCAGCACACGTACTACTGTGCGACAGTGCAGTTTGCATCCGCATGTCTCCTCAGCGAGGCACCGATCGGCGATGCCAAGGCCTCGAGAACTCCAGCGCTACGTAAACAAGACCGGGGTCTGCGCAGAAAAACGTGGAGCTGGAGTAGCTCAAGTTGAATGATTACAAGCTAGAGCTGTTCCTTGTGAAATCAATACAAGAATGGGCCCCCTGCTTGAATTCCTGTCGAAATTGACCCTTGGGGGAGGATTGCGGCGTACAGCTTGAAGCTTCGAAAAAAGTCGGCTCGTCATCCAAACAGGTTTTTGTGGCTGCAAGTCTGCTTGAGATGCTGCATGATCAGTCTCTTCCAAGGAAACCTCCGCCCGAAAAAGAGAATATCTGCTCAAGCTCACCCTGCAACCTGCGGGCAGCATTTAAACAAGTGTCCCCAGCAATCAGTAAGCGCACCTTGTCCATCTAAAGGGACATATGAACATGGTCATAGTCATAGTCTTAATCACAGCCCCACCCTCATGAATCGTCGCGTTAAATCTGCCATACCGGCCGGTCGTTATCGCCGTACTTGGGCTATACAGTACTTATAAACCTGATGAGTTGTGCTTCGAGCATGTGAACTATGCAAGGGTCCTTAGCGTCACTTGGTCAGGCAGACATTTTGCACACAGCTTGTCGAGTGCAACAAGCGGCCCTCAGCTTCTAGCATATAGATGAGCTGCCTCATGCTTGAGAAGGGCCCTCACAGAACCCTCTGCCTGAGACATCCAGGGTATTTCATGTGGCCCTGAGGGGGTCCAAGTACCTAATCCATTTGCAAATCCGCACCACATCACCATGACCTGTGATTACTGCTGTAAGTAACTCGCACGCTCAAGCATTGGGTACTTGGACCCTTGGGCTGGCCTAAAACAACTGGCCGCGACTGCCCAAATTAAATCAAGTTAAGCTGGGCTTCTTCAGGAGCTCTTCATCTTCCCAAAGCGTACGCGAGCTCCTTTCTAGCTGTGCTTGGAGGCTTGCATGGATCCTGCTTACCATTGCAAGGCACAATCTCATCGGTTTCTGGCCCCTCTTCTCGGCTCTCCGTGTGAGTGGTGCAGCTTACCTTGAAATGTGCCAATCCGTTCTGAACCACTGGCGGCTCTGTGAGCTTAGCTTGCGTAGGCTCCGGCTCAGGATGACTTTCTGATGGCTCAATTTGCTTCACAGGCTCCACAGGCTCTGGTGCTGGCTGGAAGCGTCTGGTTGGGTGCAAGGCCACCTTCGCTCGCTCCTTGTGCCTGCGCTCAGCCGGTGCGAAGCCGAGTGGGCGAAAGTTTTCGCAGGAATACTCCTGAAAGTGCGGAGACGGATTATGGGACAGCGCGAAGAGGTAACGCACTTCAGGGAGCCTCTGGCCGTCCCGAGTCCAGTTGACAAGGTGTATGGCAAGCTGGAGCCTGCCACGATCCATCCACTGCTCCCAGGAACCGACTTGATTGTGGCTGTGCCAGAGAACACCACTTGGCCGGAATTCGATCCACCTGCTGTACCGGTCCCCTTCTTGCCAGCTCCAGCGCTGCCTTCCTCCAGGGACAAAAAATAACCCGAGTTCCGTCTTCAAAGTCTCAAGCTCATGGAGGGGCATGAGCATGGAGTCAGGATCGCGCAGCGCAGCATCTAGGAGCATATGCTCCCAACAGAATCGGCAACGCCATCCACCATCCACAGGATCCAGAGTTCCCTTGTCGTCAAAGAAGCTACAGTCCATGCATTGCTTTCCCCTGACAGCTGCCAAAACCTGACAAATATCAACCTTCGACTGATCGGACAGCTTGTGGAGGATTGCTTGTGCACCTGAAGGGGCCGCTGCAGTTTCTGGCTTTCTCACAGCCTCTTCGAAGCCAGCCCACAGATGCGCACTGCAAAGGACACGAGGCTCTGGTTGGGGAACGGCGGAGGTCGTTGACACCTCACAGACCTCGGCCGGCAACTCTCGCAGGTCCTGCTGGAAGAAGGTGCGAAAGAAGTCGGTCAGGTACTTGTCAAAATCGTCTTCTACCTGAGCGGTGACTTATCTGCTCTCATACTCTTCAGGATTTTTCAGGACTACAAGCAACAGAAAACCTCACCGGAAAAATCACAAGCATAGCCCAGACTCAAATGCTTTGCCAGGCTCTGCTGCCCTCTTTGGGGGGAAGGCTGCAGTCTGAGCTTTGTAGGCTATCTCGGAGGAGATCCTACGAAGGACCTTCCGGCACTAATGCTCACTTTAGGGGGCCCCAGGTTGTTAAGACAGCCTGTGCTTCAGACCGACACTTGGTTACAAGGACGGAAGCTCACACTACGTAGCTGGAAGGGAGGCGGAACACCAAGGGCAGAAATTTGACGGGGCTAGTCAGATTTCCTTAGGGTATCGGATCTGGGTGTGTGGTGATGTCTTCTGACCGACTAGAAGGATCTTTAGCTCATTGGCTCGTACAGTGAAAGGTGAAGCCTATGAGCTCTTACTCAAACCTTGAAACCATGAATACGTACGTCTCATACATGCGCTTCACTTCCCCAAAATGAATTGCAACCTGAGAGCATGCCTCTCAAACATTAGTCTGCCGAAGACGCATCTTCAGATTCTCTTGATTAGGGGACTGAAAACTCTGCAGAACGGCAAGCCCGTGGTGCCTGGTGGTTGCAAGGCAGAACCTCACTTTGGCAATGATCGAGAAAATACGTCAAGCCCAACACTTTGAACACGGAAGTTCCACCACCCTAAACACCAAGCATCTCCCCAAACCAAACTTTAATCAAACAATGCCTACTTCAAATGCGTTTCTGTGTCAAGCTGTGAAGCCATGACCGGAAAGCCCTTGACCGGGCTTACTGCTGGGGCGGCCTGCAAGGTTACATGTTGCCAGGGCATCAAGGGAGTAGCATGGGGGATCATATAGGGGTGAGAAAGGAAGTATTATAGGGATACTGGGGATAAGATAGCGAATATAATAGGGGTACTGAAGGGATACTACAAGGGTCTTTGGGGGGCGCCAGTCGCATTTGAGTAGGACAGCAAAACACAGCTCGGTGCCAGCATGTCTAGGTCGTCATGACAATTCACAAAATGCGATCACAGCACTGAGTTTAGGAGGTTGAGTTATCCTCGAGGAAGCTCTTGTTGGGCCCTTATGCCTTGAAGGGATGATAGAAAGCTGGTCCTTCAAGTAACCCTGTGAACTCCCCAGCTATAGCTATACATCCCAAACGCTCCCCAGGAATCCTCTCACATACTGCAAGTGGCGCAGAAAACCTGGCAAGCTCTTGGGCTGTTGCTGTGCTCATCAGTTACCGCATTCCTTCAGACAGCGTAGTTCTGCCGTGTTACTAGGCTGTGCCTCCAATATCTCTAGTTCTCATCTCCGCATCAAGCAGAGAAACTTCTCAGCCACCATAGGTGGCGCTGTGCAGTCATGTTCTTAAACAGGAGGGGCCCCTTATATACCCCTGAAGTTCTGAAGTCGTGATTATGCACCAGAACCCCTCCGAAGAAAAGAATGTCAATGACGAACCCACCAGACCTCAAAGAGATCCTCCAAGCCCTTCAGCACCACCGCGCCGAGCGCTAGAACCACAACCTGGCAGATTCAGGTCTGAAGCTAAAGGGATAGAGGTTGGGGTTTAGGGTATGATGTTCAACCCTCTTCAAAATGGCCTTTTTCGTAGTGAGCCACACCCCCAAAATTTGCCGCGAAAGTGGTATCAACAAAAACCTGAATCTCGATAGTAGCATCGAAGCTGGAATTTGTTAGCATCGAAGCTGGAATTTATTTTCGTAGTAGTGTCTGTACTGGCACTAATATTAGCATTAAAAACTAGGTAAAACTTATTAAACCAACTTTCAAATCTGGTCCAAAACAGAATTGCCAAGATGAAAAAAGCTCCTGTGCTACCAACATGAATGTAAAGATGTTGTGTTGCTACGGCTATACCGGCATCACAAAAACATCATCACCGTCAGTACACGATCGCTGCAGCCAGTTCTTCTCATCCGGCCTATATAACCCCCAAAATACTACAGTAGTTTCCATTTTATTTTACATTCTCCCTATATAACCCTAATAAACCCTAAACCCTAAACCCCAATATACTATAGTAGGCCTTGTCGTACCTCAGTCCAAGGGCTCGCAGCCGCAGCAGCCTCTCATCGCGTGCGGACGTGAGCGGCGGGTAGCTGAAGATCTGTGGCCAAGAGCTCACCGGTGCGCTCGTAAGCTCCCACACGGCGCCTTGGCAGCATGAAAAAACCTAGAAAGCGAGATTGGTAGAAACACTTGAAGCTTCGCCGTCAAAATGTAGCATTGCTGTTATTTGGATTGTAGCCGCTGTCATTTTAATATGTTGTCTGCAGAGATCCTTCCTGCTCAAAGGAGGAAGTAAACATATGTCTGAAACTCCACCTAGCTTCCCAGGACCTCAAGGTAGGGTCGCGGCACTGCCGGGCTGTGGATGAGCACCCGTCCCGGGTACTCCCGGCTCCTAGCAGAACTCGCAAGGCTCAGGCCGAGGATCCAAGCCTGCAGAAAGCTTTTCGCAGTGCCGTCGGCGAGCACGGCAGCATATGCATGCCTGGTACTGGCGGCACCTTCAAAAAGCTCCTGCTGTCGATCTGCCAACATCAACTCCATCTTCACCGGTCTACGGCATTGAGTGCACGTCAGGTTGGCAAACACATTATCTTGGCAGTCCACGTGCACCTCTGCCGTCCTTGATGGCAAAGGAGCGACCCTATCCTCATCTGCGAAGGATAAGCTCAGCCGGTACTTGTCAGCCTCGCCTGATGGAGAGCCTGTGGTGCTATGCTGTACCTTCTCCGGCTGGCAAGCGCTGGAGACGGAAGTTTCCTTGATTACGTGCATGGCAGCCAGGGTGGTGCTGCAAACGGCAATATCACAACTGCAAAATGTTACCTCTGAATGCTACTCTGGCTCCGTGAAAGCGGAGAGGATGCGTTCGCGCAGGTCTGCAGCTGCCGTCTCCAGACCTCGTCCGGCATCTGTGGCCGGCTGGCGGAGGGCGGTGCGCAAGCCGTCGGCTGTAAGGACCGACTGAAGCGCAGCTGCTATCCTGGCATCCTCCCTCTTCATTGCGCGGCTTCTAAGACAGCATGTGTTTATCTGCTGCAGGCTGTGCCCTTGCACGAGTCGGCTAGTCTTGTGGCCATGTGCTCGAAGTATGAACTCATGAACAGACCAAGCATAGAGGGTTGAAGGTGTAGAACCGGGATCTTGCCGTAGCTCGTGCTATAAAAAACTAATATATTATGAGGATTCTAAAAAGACAGTTTTTGAGGGGGTCGTGCAGGATCCTATGGAGTAGACTTCTACAGCTTGAAGGTGAGACCCACCCTTCATGACTCTTCCGCAGACTTTGAGCTATATCAGCTCCGGGTGCCCCATGGCGTCCTTGAAAGCCAAACCCAAGTATCCCTTATAGTGGCTATTTGCTGGGTAGGGGGTCCACCTAAACTCTTTCACTCTCGAAGGATGCTGTGGGCGCTGCTGTACTTCTGCTTTCGGGCATGCTCATCTAGAGCATAGGTTAGGTGAACCCCCCACCCAGCAATGGTGACTATAAGGGATAGTGGTGATCATATCACGGTCCTCTTGTACTCCTACTATACCACTACTATAGGATGGGGGTCTACGTAAAGTATAAGGGCTCTCAGGATCCCCGCGCTTCAGGGAATGACCCCACACACGATCTAGAAAATCCAATGCTTGCGTGAGCGGAGCGATGCTGCAAGGCCCGGTACGAGGGCCTATTTCTAATAACACTAAGAATTACAAGATACTAATAGTCGAGTAGTAGTAATACTTCTAATATTGCATAGTAAGACTGACAAACTTGTTTCTTCCATGAAAATGTTTCGCAGAAGAAAGCTCCAACCATTTCTCACGGCTCGTAGACTTGCCCAGAAGCAGCCTATAGGATCCCCTCTAGGGCCTATAGGGATCCTGCCAAACCCCAAACCCCAAATAGTAGTTTCTATGTTCTTTTCCGTTATCCCTATATATCCCCCTATGTCCCCAATGCGTAGGAGGAGCCCAGCTCATTACCAGGGTTTCAGTAGGAGCCTGACTTTTGGACTGAGCTTTCTGTTGAACTTCCAAGCGGTTCTTTCCAACTGCACCATTTTTGGATTTCAACCACCACACCGCACTCAGCCCGGAAAAGAACGATTGCTCCCTCAGCTGATTCGCATCTACAAGGCAGATTCTCCAAGGCTGGCACATCTTTTAGCCTGGAGATGTCAAACTTGGTCTGTCCTGCAAAACAAGCATCCATCTCTCAGCTTTGCGAGGTCCCACTAAGAACTGCTCAAGACATTAGATTGTGTGATATCTGCAGCTTGTAGTTGAGCTGTGTCAAAAAGACGGACACCTTGAAGCCGGGACTCAAAGCGATACAACTTGAACATGTCTTCTTGTAGTGACGTCGCAGACCAAGTGACCGAGTGGACTAGATTTGCATGTTTTGGATGTCAAGTGACTGGCAGGATTTCCCAGCCTAACACTCTACCCCGACGAAGGGCTACATGTCTGTATGATTACCTTGCAAATTCCTCCTGATCCTGTTGGGGGATTTGCTGCTATTCTGGCCACAGGTTGGTAGGATTTTGACGTTGGGGACATGTTCATGTTCCGAGCTTGTCACAGGACTTAGATTCCAGCGTTAATGTTGGCCCGGGACAACCCTTACGCATACGTTCCAGTCCTACATAATATCTGTCTCTGCATATGTGGAAGTCTTGCGACGAAACAGAAGCAAAGGAGCAAGACTCGGCTGCACCTCCCGTGTTACAGGGTAGTAGCTCCCAGTGATCCCAGCACTTACAAACTGAGCCCTGCTGCAGCCTCTCCCAGTCCCTACGGAAAGTACTTGGAAACCACAAATTTGGGCACATTCCAGAATCGTGGCCCGCTTCCCTGCAAATGTCCTTCGAAGGCTTCTCGCAGCCCCTGACAAACACAGTTCGCGAGATGGTTTCATGGACTGTAGTTTCAACCCAGGGGAAGTTATCATGGGAACAACTACGCGTCGCAGCGATTGGTCCAATGAGACCAGATACTATAAAGAGATCCGAAGACGTAGAAATCGGGCAGCAGCGCATGCCGTAGCAGCGGTGGTTGGGGAGAGAGCCCTACAAAAGGTGTCCTCAACGTGTCTGAATCTTCTTGTCCAAAGCTTAATTTCCATGGCCCCAGCTGCAGCAAAATGAGCACAACCAAGACTTATATCAACCCAGGGGGCCTTGAATTGCATTCTTCTGCTTTGCTCTCCCCTTCCCAGTTGCGAAGGCTGCACCAAGCAATAGAGCAGTAGGGTGCCCTACCCAAAGCCCTGAGTGCTTGGTCGAATCGGGCGGCTTGAAGTCTAGACCCTTTGGAAACCGAGGGGTGTACAGTCCAAACTCCGGGTTCTGCTGAGGCACCGTGAATCTCAGCTTGCTGTTATTATAGTAGCTATACTCTTATTGTACTTATAATACTATAGTATTCTAAGAACTGTAGAATCATAGTACTTATATGGTATTCGAATAACTACAATAATCATACCGCGCGCCTCAATAATGAGCTCGCCGTGCTGCTTCCAGGCGATTGCGGCTGAACCTCAGAACTTTCGCAAGCCATCGCACAGTGAATATACTATATAGGAGCTATATGGGGATGCTGTAATGTAGGGATTATATGGGGATGATAACCCCTTATATTTCCTGCTAAGAAGCAGGCGTCCTCGGGACAAGACCCTAGATTGCACAAAGTTACATCCTTTTTGCACTGTGATACCTTGGCGGCCCAATGACTACAACTAGTATAAAAACTACAGTTTTCCTATATATCAAAGCAGAGCACATAGCAGCCCCAGCTAGGAAAGAGCAAAAGACAATAGTGATCCCTACATTAAACCGAGAGAATAGAGGGATCCTAGTATCCTAGTGCTACTGCCACGCATCATCAACCCAGTCTCACGTAAGCAACAAGCATGTCCGTTCTCACTGTGGCCGGTACAGCAAAAAGCCTGGCGTTTAGAGCGATGTGCACACTAGACTAGAAGGAATCCAACCGCACACCGAGCTTCAAAACCTGCAGGCAATTAGTAGCTACAATGCTGTCTAGTCCCATCAAATCGAGCGCCAATTACAATGAGGTAAACAACTGCCATGCTCCTGTCACAGCAAGTACAGCAAGTACAAAAACTAAGACTCGTAGCAACGTAAAGACGGTGACCCAAAGCTATCAGTCCTGGTACCAGAGGCATGGAGTGATGAGGCCATAACTCCCTGCCGCCGGCACATTAGTCATGTCCCCCAAGGTTGTGGCGATCCGGGCCTTGCAACCAGATCGATGCCGAGTTCAGAGCTTCTCTGGCAGATGGTGGAGGTGGGGCCACTATGCAAACTCAAGCATGCGTATTGTTCAGAGCAACGACATGAGCTTGAAGTTGTGAAACCTGATATTTTCCAGGCTTCGGTCCCATCAGCAAGGGCATATAGCCGGTGAGTGTTCTGCGTTGCATTTTGCAATTTCTCTGGGTGCATCAGACTTTGGATGTGCAAAGATTAAGCGCAGCAAGCTGTATGTCCTGCCTGGGGAGGATAGTTGACGCCACTGATCACAGGCAAGATCTTGAGCCTCAGCCGAGCAAGCACCTCTAAATCGATTTCTTCCCCCACACAGAAAAATTCTTGATAGTCAGGGCATGCATACCCGTAGAGCAAATTCCATGCAAAAGCTCTGAAAATCCCGGGCCCAATGTACCATAATCCAATTGAGACCTGTGAACCCGAAGCCCCCAAAATCCCGCACCCTAGACGCCTAAAAGGGCCAGGGGGCATGTTGGCTCGACAGCGCCTGGGGCCAGGCAGCTGGGAATTCATTGGCAAAAAGGTCTCCCCAGGAGGATATGGGGCTTGGCGATTCTAGGATTTGTAGTGGGACTCTTGAGTTCTTTATATTTGCAACAAAATACAATCATTGCGAGGTCTCTGAACCTTTGCCACGCCGTAAAGCAGAATGGCATGCCTCTGCAGGGCCGCAAAATACGATTTCAAGTTGGAGAAGCATCAGCCCCACTCAGACGAACGGACTCCAGGTCAGAACCCTCCCTGATCTCATCCCAGGTAAGCGGTTTCCGGTGGTTCCTAGCGCTAACACGTGACATTCCGCAGCTCAATAGCGATGAGTTCTAGTGCTGTAGTTGAGCCGCTGTTCTGAACGCACTTCCACGCGGTATCTAATCCAGATTTGGGGGAGACGCCCATCATACATGTACTGTGCAAAAGTTGAGACTCTTAGATGCTCTTGGCATTGGCTTCCTGTGTAAGTACCTGCCCCACTTCTGCTAGGGCATCAGCATTCGTACGCGCAAAAGCCACTGCATGTACCATCCAGGCCTCACAGCTCGTAGGTAGAGGTCCAGCTCGTAGGCCCACCTCCACCACAAGGAGCTAAGAAGCTTTGGGTAAACACTTGTACCGGTTGTAACCCATACAACCTAATTACACATTGAGTTTACCCCCTCAAAGATGTCGCAGCAGCCCCAAGCATCAAAACGACAGCGTTACCAATTCGCAAATTACGGTTGCATGTATGGTTCGGAAAGCAGACATCCTGTGCACACCTACTTGAAGTCAACAGACTGAAGGCATGGTACTGTCATGCGCTATGTAGGAACCCCAGCTAAGACCTACATGGGCGATCAGTCTAAACTCCTAGTATCCGTACTGTAGCTCACATTAACTAAAGTTAGAATTTTTGAGCCGGAGCCGAGCCGCCAGGACCACAGTGGGTCCGGGATCTCCCTCTTGAGCTCCTGCTGTGCACTTCTCCCAAACTGATGGTAGAATCTTGATGTC